TGTCTCGCCAAGTTGCCCAGGTGGGTCTCAAACCCGCGGGCTCAGACAATACACTCACCTCAGCCTCCCAGAGGTGCAGGATTACTGAATTTTTTTAAAAATACAAGAGAAGCAACTTGTCACATGCAAGGGATCCTTAATACAAATATCAACAGATTTCTCATAGAAACTTTGGAGGCCAGAAGTTAAGGGCCTGATATACTCAAAGTGCTGAAAAAAAAAAAAAAACCTGTCAACTAAGAATCCTAAATCTAGCAAAACTGTTCTTCAAAAGTGAAGGAGAAATTATGACAATTGTGACATTCCCAAACAAAAACTGAGGGAGTTTGTTACCACTAGACCTGACCTGCAACAAATGTTAAAAGGGATCTTGCAGGTTGAAATAAAAGGATACCAGTCAGTACTTAAAGCCCATGTAAAGAAATAAATATTTCAGTAAAGGTAGACACATGAGGAATTATAAAAGCCTGTGTTATTTAAACTTTGGTTTGCAACTCTACTTCTTGTATTTGACATGATTTAAGAGACTGACACATTTTGTAAAGCTATTATTAGTTTAAAAGCTATTATTATTACTTTGTTTTTAACTCCACATTTTGTTTTCTACATTATTTAACAAATTAATGCAGAAGTTATTACTTTATGTTTTTGGACACACAAAATATAAAGATGTAATTTTATAATATCAATAACTGAAAGTGAGTGAGGATTAAGGTTAAAGGAACAAGTTTTTATGTATATGTCACAAATGGCAAAATGACAGAAGTCTCTTTTTTTCAGTAATTACTTTTTTAAACTCTCCAAGAAAAAGACAGAGATTGGCAGAATGGCTTTTAAAAATATGATCTAGGCCAGGCACAGTGGCTCATGCCTGTAATCCTAGTACTTTGGGAGGCTAAGGTGAGAGGATTGCCTGAGCTCAGAGTTGGAGACCAGCCTGGGCAACGTGGTGAGACCTTATCTCTACAATAAATAAAAAAATTAGCTGGGTGTGGTGGCAATCACCTGGCAACCAGCTACTTGGGAGGCTAAGGCAGACAGATCACCTGAGCCCAGGAGGTCGAGGCTGCAGTAGACTTGATCGTGCCACTGCATTCCAGCCTGAGCAACAGAGTGAGACTCTGACTCAAAAAATAAAAAAGACACATGACCTAACTATATGCTGACTACAAGACACCCACTTTAGATCTAGAGACACAAATAGATTGAAAGTGGACTGTGAAAGTAGATATTCCAAGCAAATCGCTCCCAGAAGAGAACAGGACTGGCTATAAATATGCCAGTCACCAAAAAGGCGAATGCCATATGATTCCACTTAGATGAAGAACCTAGGGTAGACAAATTCACAGAGACAAAAAGTAAAATGACTGCCAGGGGTTGGGGATGGGGGAATAGGGAGTTATTGTTTAATGAGTATAGAGTTTGTTTTTGTAAGGTGAAAAGAGACCAGGGGATGACTTGTGGTGATGGCTACACAACTATATGGACAAACTTAATGCCACTAAACTGTACACTTAAGAATGGTTAAGTGCCTAATCCAGACTTGTACCCAACATCTTTCTTTTTTAAAAGTTTTTTAAAAAGAATGGTTAAGATGGCAATTTTTTAAAAATTTATTTCTGAGTTATAGTCTCATTCTGTTGCCGAGGCTGGAGTACAGTGGCACGCTGCTCACGGCCGCTGCAGCCACAACCTGCTGGGCTCAGGTGATCCTTCCGCCTCAACCTTCCAAGTAGCTAGAACTACAGGCACATGCCACCATGCCCAGGTAATTTTTTTTTTTAAGATTTATTGTAGGGATGAGGTCTCACCAAGTTGTCCAGGCTGGTCTCGAACCTGTAGGCTCAGGCAATTCTCACACCTCGGCCTCCCAAAGTGCTGGGATTATAGGCGTGAGCCACCATGCCCGGCCTAAGATGGTAAGTTTTATATTACATGCACTTTACCACAATCTTCTAAAATGTGTGATTTTTTTAAAAAAAGAAATTAAATGGAGAAAAGACAATTCCACAACCATAGTTGCATATTTTTAACACCCTTCAGCCATTGATAGAGAAAAATAAATAAATAGGGACACAGAATATGGGAAAAAAAACTTCAAACACTTTGACCTAATTAATATTTATAGATACACACAACAACTGCAGAATGTACACTCTTTTCAAGTGAACATGGTACACTCACCAATGGGGTGGTCATCAAATAAGTCTCAGTAAACTTTAAAAGACTGAGATCCTATGTCCTCTGTCCACAGTGGAATTAAATTAGAAATCAATATTCAGAAAAACCACAAATGACTAGAAATCAAACAGCATACATCTAAGCAATGCATGTATCAAAGATGAAACTTTGCAAAGGAAATTATTGAATATTTCAAATTACACCATGATAAAAATGATCATATCAAAATGTGTAGGCAGCAGCTAAAGTAGAACTTAGAGAACAATTTAGAGTATAATTTGTTTATGGTAGAAAAGTCTCATATCAATGATCTAAGCTTCCGTCTTAAGAAGTCAGAAAATGAAGACTAAAGTAAGCCCAAAGTAGGTTGAAGGAAGGAAATAATAAAGATCAGAAATCCATGAAAAAGAAAACAAACAATTGAGAAAATAATAAAAGCTAAAATTTAGTTATTTGAAAAGATGGACAACACTGATAAACTCCTAGCTAGATTGACGAAGAAAAGAAAAAGAAAAACAGTTACCAATATCAGGAATGAAAGAAGAATTATCACAAAAGACTCTATAGACATCAGATGGATGACATCAACTTTAGGCCTGCAAATGTGACAAGTTGAATGAAGGGGACAAATTGAAATTTGTCAGAAATGAACAAGAATCAAGAAATTCAATTATTATAGTTAGAAGTTGTTTTGGAGGTTTTTTTTGTTTTTGTTTTTTAGCAGTTATTGAGAGGATAGAAAAGCTCCCACAGTGGGAGGGGACACTAGGGGGTTGCCTATAGTTAGAGATTTTAATACTCCTTTGAAAACTCTCAGAAAACATAAGGAGAAAAACACTTGCCAACTTGTCTTAAATACCTGCAATAGCCCTAATTGAAAATCCTGACAAAAACATTACAGAAAAAGAAAATTACAGACTCGTTACTCATAAACACAAAGTGAAATCCCCTCACACTTGAGAATTACAAACTTATGTAACATTCTGTGAAACAAATTCATTTTGCAAATGATCAAGAGTGTGGCGGTTTTACAAAATCATCAGAGAAGCTTAGAAGTAAAATACAAATCCTAGTTTCTACTTCTCACTAGCTGTGTGATTTCGAGCAAGAGATATATTCCTCTAAGCCTCCATTTATTCACCTATAAAATGGGAATAACAGTACCTCATGAAATTCCTATTTTTCCCGAGAATTCTAAAGAAAGAAGTAAAAAGCATTTGTATCTGCCACAGGACCACCCCATTACATTTGTGAAAGCTGTGCACTTCGCCCTAGGTGAATACCATCCCCTTAAATTGGGCAATACACAGCCTACTCAGTGGTACACAGAGGCTACGCTGGGTGCTCATACATTTTTTAAAAACCACAAAGTTACAACATTATGTAGTAGAAATTAAAACTGTTTGCTTCGTCAGGAACTATGGTTTCATGTGCCTGCAAGACTGTAAAATAGTAGTATGTCATTTTAACCATGTTATTAATCTTTTCTAAGCTATTGTATGCTTATCTATAATATTTTACAATATTCTTAGATTTTCAAAGCTCTCAAAATACCAAGATTATGCTTGAAGTTTCCAGTGGCAACCCATGAATGAACTAAATGTCCTATGTCCTACATACATTTTTTTTTTTGAGTCAGTCTCGCTCTGTTGCCCTGCTTGGGCTCCAGCTATCCTTCTGCCTCAGCCTTCCATGTAGATGGAACTACAGGCGTGCACTATCACGCCCAGCTCATTTTTTGATTTATTGTAGAGACAAGGTCTCACCAAGTTGCCCAGGCTGGTCTCGTACCCCTGGGCTCACGCAATCCTCTCACCTTGGCCTCCCAAAGGGCTGGGATTATAGGCTTGAGCCACCGTGTCCGGCCCTGTACATTTTTTTTTTAACTACAATGACAGACAAGATGATAGCAATGCTCCTTACTTGGTATGATAAAAAGAATGTATGCTTAATGGCAAGATTAAACAAGATACAGTGTTTGTTTTCTCATTATTTTTACCTGATTTGTGCTTCAAATTGGTGGTCACCGCATCAAATTCAGATTTATCAATTTCCCACGCGAGAGGTAGCTTGCCCAGGCTATTGGATAAGTTTTCCAAGCTATTTTCTTCATTATAGATGATATCCGATGTACTCGTCGGGATACCAATATATCTTGATGAATTACTCCCAGCAGATAAAGAGGTACTATCTGGGAGGCAAGAAGAACGGGATGGATTTGGAGTCTTATAGATTGAGGTTGCCTGGTTGAGGAAGGCATAGTCTGAGCAGATGGCATAAATTTTTTCCCGAGTATGAGTCACTGGACAACTCCATGGATAATGACCATCTCCCTTGGAACCCAAGGGTGCAGCTGAGGCACTTGTGCAGAAAGATTTTACAGCACCTTGTAGACTCTCTTCAGGTGACTTTCTCTCAGATTTGTGCTCACCATTTCCAGAATCATTTGACCTTTCTGTTTCTGCAATGTTAGGCATTGAATACTGCTGTCAAAGTTTCCGTTAGTAGGAATAAGTTGCAACTCTTTCTGTTTCTTGAAAAACAACTTTGGCAATTGTTTATTGCATTCTATAGAAGGTTCAGAGTTGCAGAATGGATTCCTAAGAAAAGAGGGAGGAAAAAAAGTGATCAACAAACTACCAGACACTACAAATTGCTCATAAAAAATCAAGTATTACTCATGTCTTCATTCAATATTTATTGTATAACTACTATATGCCTAGAGTTGTGAGCACTGAGCATCTATCTTATTTTACAAACTAGTTTAAAATAATGTATTGGAATAATTAAAATAATTAACCCAATAAAAATGGACAAAGTATCTGAATAGTCACTTCTCCAAAGATAATAAAGAAATGGCCAATTGGTTGGACATGTAGGCACATGCATGTAGTCCCAGTTACTCAGGAGGTTGAGGTGAGAGGATTGCTTGAGCCCAGGAGTTCAAGACCAGCCTGGGCAATGCAGCAAGATTCCATCTCTACAAACATTTAAAAATTAGTTAGGTGTAACGGTGCACTCCTGTAGTCCCAGATACTCAGGAGACTCAATGGGAAGGATCATCTGAGCTCCCGAGTTCAAGGCTGCAGTGAGCTATGATAGTGCCACTGCACTTTAGCCAGGGTGACAGAGAAAGACCCTGCTGAAAGGGAAGGGGAGGAGAAGGAAGGGGAGAGAAGGGGAGGGAAAGTGAGAGATGAGCAGGGAGGAAGGGTGGGTCAATAAACACATAAGAAGATGCTCAACATCATTAGCCACTATGGAAATGCAAATCAAAACCCCCATGAGTGACAACCTCACACCCACTAGAATGGCCATAATCAAGACGGATAATAACAATGGTGACAAGGATGTGGAAAAATAAGAACCCGCATACTCTTCTAGTGGAAATGTAAACCGATCCAGTCACTTGGAAACATAGTTATTCAAACATTTAAACAAAGTTACCACATGGTACAGTAATTTGAATCCTACCTAAAAAAATAATCCTATCTAAAAAATAATCTACTAGCAAGATATTTTTGAAGTGTATGGGTATTAAAGGTACATGATGAATACTGCTCATAGATTTAAATCAGTAAAAAATATAGAACTTAAAAGACTCATCACCTGAGAAAAAACAGATCCAGTCAAGGTGCCACTAACTTCTGATCAGCCTCAGGAATAACTGAATTTCAAGTCCCAACTGATTCCCTTGGGGGAGAAAAGAGAAAAGTTTAATAGTAACTGAGAGCATACAAGTAACCTAAAGGTTTATACAAAAGCAAGTCCTTGGTGAATCCAACCATCACAGGTGATGCAGGAGACAACCCTCTGCAGGAGCCTGGGCAGAGCATGCAGGTTTCTCAGGGCTCTAGCAAGGGAGCAGCAGATGAGAGATTCAACCCACCTCAGGTGATCAGTTGGCTTTTACCAGTTAATATCTCTGCCAATCTGCTCACTTAAAAAAATTAGAAATGCAAATAACCTTCATAGGTTACCCACCAATGATTATATCAAAACCATCATACATGTCTGAAGCTGAAGGTATTGGCATATTCCACTGACCTGTACTATTGACTGATAGCTTAGGAATGAAAATGACTTGAACTCATTCATGTTTAGAAAGGATGTCAATTTGAGAACCAGGTAGATCCATCCACTCTAGAAATCTAAAAACGAAGACACAAACAAAAACAGTGGCCTATGCTTCCACAAGGTCAGGATCATCATCACCGCCCACGTCCACATCTTGTCACACTGGAAGGTCTTCGAGGCTAATAACATGCAGGGAGCTATCATGAACTATGGTAGAGGCGTTTTGAAGTTTTCATCAGCGTACCCATATTCAAGTGGAGATAAAAGAAGCCAAAATAAAAGAATGTGGCAAGGCTTACAGGACAGTTGTGGGATAAGCATCAATCCTATTTTTAAAAGGCCTATGTTGAAGATATCCTTTGAACAAAACTTTGACTCCAGCTTTAGAGTAATCTGACCTTGATGGACAGTGGAAGAAATCACAATGTGTGAAATTCTTTGAATAAGCATTTATTGATTTTTTTAAAAATAATTTTGTCTAATGTTCTACAAGCATAATGAAAAAAACTCTACAGTTTGTAGAAATTCAGCATGTAAAAAAAAAACCATCATATAAACACTGAATGACAAAAACCTATGACTAAGGCTCCAAGAAATATCAGAAAACTATTTACCCAAGAGACCCTAGGTAATCCTGATCTGTGAGGAGAAAAAGGTACAGGTACTGCATATCATTCCTGTCATTTAAGGAAACAGAACTGCTTACAAAGAGGACTCCACATGCAATTCCACTTTTTATTCTTATTCTAAAGTCGGCGTCTCCCTGTGTTGTCCCAAGTTGTCTGTAACTCCTGGCCTCAAGCAATCTGATCTTCCCACCTCAGCCTCCCAGAGCACTGTGATGACAGGTGTAAGCCACCATGCTGGGCCCATTTTCTTTTCTTTTAAAAGATGCTCTCTCTCTATTCAAGCCTTGAGGTAGTGGTTTTAAAATAATTTGTGCAGAGTTTATATAGTTGTTTGTAGGAGGGTCAGTTTGGTAGTGGCATCACCACCAAATATTTCACTTTGAAAACTTTCACTTTCTTTCGGTTAAAAAAAAAATCGCTGGAGTAGGTAGAGTGGATCTGTAGACAGGAAGCATTGATGCTTTCTCTTTCTTACTCATTCTGTGGTGGGATGCTGCCAGGGGAAAAAGATGCCAAGGAAAGTTCAGTTGTACAGACCAAACTCTGGTCTATTCGGAGTATTGAGTTTCTCAGATTCTTAGCAGAGGTCCTGCATAGTACTTTCCATTTCTTATCTGTGATCTTCATGCCTTTCTCTAAAAGCCAGTGTGGTGGAAAGAGTATCTATTTGTGGTGTTGGTGTTGTGGGGGTGGGCAGTGGTAGGTGGGAAAGAAAAGCGCATATGGTCTCAGTGAGGGGCAACGGGGAAAGGTTACAGGAGTTAATTTGGTGGGGTAGAGGGGACAGTTCCAGGCCCTGTCCTTTTTATATCCTTATCTCAAACATAGCTTCCACCTTGCCATGACATCCTTCCTCAAAACGAATGCAATTTTTCCCAGAGGACAAGCTCTCTGGGCATACATGGCATATTTGTATCAAAAATGTGGGCAAAAGGAAGTTACTGCATTTGAGCACAAAAGTTGACCCTGAGCTTCCTGGACACTGAAGATAAGAAAGAACACAGCACTTGACTAATAAAAAATATAACAGTCTGGTTTTGTTTGTTTGTGGCTTGGGTTTGACTGCATTTAAATAAGGGTCACTGAACAAGAGTGAACTCTTCGGTCACAGTTTTACCAAAAAAAGTGAAGAGTCACATAAGGACCTGTTTTATATTGACTATTACTAAAAACCAAGACAGGAAACTTTCTCATTTGAAACACTGTTTTTTAGGAGTGTGTGTGTGTGTGTGTGTGTGTGTGTTGACACTAGTTTCCCTTTATTTCTGATTATTTCTTTATATCCATCTTTACAGGGGTAACTCCCTATGTGAACTACTCAAGCCTGAATTTCACTTGGGAAACGTAGATTCCTTGTACCAAATGGATAGTATCCATGTTCCCAGAGGTCTCATTGGCTTTCCAAGTCAATAGTTATCCTCCGCTTCGAGCCTCTGCCGCAACATGTTCCTTTCTTCTGCTCACACTAAGCGGGTTTCTGAAACGGCAGGGTTCTGTGCTGAAACGTTTATGTAAATTTCTCTTTGCAAATGAGTGTAGTATTCTTAGATTTTTATTAAGTAAAACATATCACAGGAAAAAAATTTGCAAAGTACCAAAAGATGTTACATAGACTGCTAGTGTTTACTTTCTCTCCACACTGCCTGTCTGATTCATGTCAAATCTCCCACGATGGTAAGAGCAATCTGGGGCCAAAGGGGGCTTCTATAATTGGGACCATGCCTTTGGTCAGATCCTCACTTTCTTAAAGTGTACTAAGCATAATTTATTACAGACAACAGAGTCACTATAGACATCAGTTGTTGTATTCTACTGTAATTATAGCCTCAGGAAATACTGAGGTATAGAAAAGCCTTGGGTCCCTCCACTTAATAGCCTGCAGCTGTCACGATTTTGTATCGCCTTCTGTCTTATTTATAAAACTCCTAGCTCCCCCATCCATCCTCATGAGTTGACATTCCTAATCTAATTTGTGCATAGATATTAGAAAATAAGATTTGCTACATATATATGATCACAGAACTCCTCCTGCAGGAAACCCTCTGTTTTTCTTTTTTTATTTTTGAGTTGGAGTCTCACTCTGTTGGCCAGGCTGGAATGCTGTGGCACGCTCACCAAGACCCTAGTGTCGACCTGCTGGGCTCCGGCGATCCTCAGCCTTCCAAGTAGCCGGAACCACGGGCACGCAATACCACGCCCAGTTAATTTTTGATTTATTGTAGAGACGAGGTCTCGTCAAGTTGCCCGGGCTGGTCCAGCCTCCGTTTTTAAAACAAAAGGCCAACTCTTTATCTGACCCCACCAGTATCTAGTTAGAGTCCCCTGCCGTTTCCTCAGTGCTCACTTCAAACTTTTTGGTTCTCAGAATACTGTTCCCTCTCACGGACCCTCCTTTATTTACTTAATTCCCATTCATCTTCCTAATATCAGATCGAATGTCACTTTCCGGGAGAAACTTCCTTTGCTCCTCAAACTAAACCGGGTCACCCCTATATACTCCCACTTCATTCTTGCACAGGTGTTACCAGGGGGCAATTTTACACTTATATTTGTGTGTTTGTGTTTACACGATGAATGTCTGCCTTTGTGAGTCTGGTTTTCCCGTCTATTGTTATCTCCAGGGCCTGGCACTTGTAGAAGTTTCGCTCAACAGATATTTTATAAGTGTCTACAACATGCCAGGCATTTATTGTAAACCTCATTTTGATTGACTGAGCTTCCCTGTTCCACATTAAGTGAGGCGTTGCTATATTGAAATTTACTCTAAGGGCTAATTTGCTACTGAATGGCTTATTCCTGAAACCATGTCTCAAGCAGCAGAAGTATTGGTTAACTGCATGCGAAGCGAAATTTTATAAAATGGCAAGTTTTAAATGTACTCCTAAGGCTCACACCTTGTAATCCCAGCACTTTGGGAGGCCTTGGCTAGAGGATGGCTTGAACTCAGGTGTCTGAGACCAGCCTAGGCAACATAGCGAGGCCTGTACGAAAATAAAATAAAATTAAAAAATGAACCAGGAGTGGTGGCCACGCTTGCAGTCCCCTGCTACTCGGGAAGCAGAGATGGAAGGATCCACCATCAATCAATCAAAGCACTCTTAGAGAAATATTGCTAAAAGTCATTGGAACGAATTGTTCTGTAAAATAAACATCCCGTTTGTAAAGTCAATATTCATCGCCTAGGTTATAGTATTTTCTAGTTATGCTTTAAGTCTGTTATTCTTAAGTATCAAGTTTATGAGAGAACTAACATCGTTTAAAAAAAATCTCTACGGTAAGGCCTTTTAAAGGACAACTATTATGATCTATATTCTGTATAGAAGGCAGTTGAGACGCAGGTGCCCTCGCTCAGTAACTTAAAGGTCGAATACATGCCCGAGGGCGAGACCTGAAGCGCTGGGAGCCCTTCCCAACCAATGTCCTCCCCACGTCCTCCAGGCCCCCTCCTCCTCCTGAGACCTGCCCCCTCCAGCACCGGGGCCGCCAGCCTACCCTGGGAAACCGGGAATCCTTGGCGCACGGCACCCGCTCGGAGCCTACGCTCGGGGGGAGGCGGGCGAGCCCACCGCCCTCCTCCGTGAAGCTCGCGCCACGGCCGGGTATAGAGGCCGCCGGGACAGAGGCGACAGTGGCGCAGGCCGATCCCGGCCGCGCAGAGCTAGGGTGCGCGCAGGCGGCGCCAGCCCGGAGCAGGAAGCGCAGCTGCGCCCACTGCCCGCAGCCCCGGCGTCCCTCTCCAGGGCCAGGCGTCCCCAGGCTCTGCACCGGCCGAGGACGGCCGAGGCCTCCCTCCTCGCCCCTCCTCCGCCATCCTCCTTCCCTCACCCGCCGGAAGACGAGGTTCTCCGAGAGGGGGAGCGCGCGGAGGCCAGAGGGTGGTCCCCTCGAAGCTGCCCGGCGATCGGGGGACGCTCCGGGTGCTAATGGGGCAACACGGGCAGTTGGTGCATCCGGGCAAAGACGGGAGCCCTCTGATCCGAGTGTTTAAATAAACGAGTTAATATCATTAATCATGACAATTGCACAAAAGAAATAGAAGAGAAACCCTCTGCCCTGGCGCACAGCCAGGTCCGCTTGGATGGCAGAGTCCGCTCGACCCGTCTGGGTTGTCTGGGTAGCTGACCAGAGGGACACAGCCAGAGAAGGCCACGGGCCCACCTCCGGAGCTGACCACAGGTGCTCCTCAGGGCAGCGCACCCGCGACTCCACCTGGAGACGGCCCTGGCCTGGGTGCGGGAGTGCAGAAGGAAGGGACCGCCACCGAGCGCCGGCTCCACCCTGTCCAGCGGACGTGGACACCGATGCCTAAACCCGGGCCACCGCTGTCTGCAGGGACACTTCCAAATCGAGCCTTGTACACGAGAAGGCTAGTCCCTTCTCTCCCTGGCGATTCTCTTCTCCCTGCGACCCAGCTCTTCACCCCCCTCCTTCCCAGGAGGACGCGCACCCATGCGGTGGCCTCCATTCGGACGCCGCAGGGCTCCAGAGAGGCGATGACCCTTCGTACCCCAAGCGGCGACGGTTGAGCCTAAAGCTCACCCCGGTTGGTGGCGCCCGGGTGACCCGCGGAGGGCGGGCGCGCAAGGCGCACCGCTGGCCGCCACCTCTGCCCATGCCCACAGCCCCGGGGTACCTCTGGCCTGTTCAACGGGGTCAGGTCGTGCGGCCGCGGCTGAACCTGGCACTGGACCTGGATCACAGCTTCCAGCGCGCGGCCCGCAACGCGCCTCCAGTTACCCTGGGGCTTGTCCCATCGGAGCGCGCGGGGACAGCACCCTGGACTGCGTTGTCCGGCGACGGGTCGTCGGATATCATTGACAACACCTTCCTTTCGGCGTGTCCTATGCCTGTCCTATGCCTGTCCTCTGCATGTGCGGAGGACAGGGTGACCAAAAGGAAAACTGTGAGCCGCGCCTCCAGCCCCGCGCGCCCCTCGGTTGGGCGTCTGGAGTATTTCTCTGTTCCCCAAAAGCCTTCACCAAAAAGTAAATAAAGCGGCTGGAGATGGCCAAACCTGGCAGGATTTCCGCTAGCCCTGTCGGGGACTACACATCCCAGGGAGCCCGGGGCGCCGGGACGCGTGTTCACTCCGCCATCCACTTGGAGAAGACCTTACTAAGCCTGGCCCGACGCACGGGCCAATCCTGTCGCCTTATACCTTGGCGGGGACCGGGGCCGGATTCGCCCCCAAATGATGCTCCGGTGGCAGGAGCGGCGCCAGTTTGTCAGTGTCCCGGGAGAGAGGAACGGCGTGGCTCTCGCCCGTTTCAGCAGAACGACTCGCATCCCTCACCTGGACGTGCCAGGGCCCCGGTGGTGATTTTCCCGGGGACGGTGGAGACCCGCGCGCCTGCCCGGCACATCAAGCGACACCCTGCGGAGCCGTGTTTGCTGCTGTGATCGGCCGACGTGCCCCCTGCGGAAGCCTGGGCTGGTCCCGTGCACCTCGTCCACGTCTTCGTTTATCTGTGGATCATTTCGGAAGTCCGTCTTGTAAATGTTCAGCATTTTGCTGACTTACTGCTTCTTTCTGGGGACGGCTCCAACGCTTGCCGAGACCGGCGGAGAGAGGCGACTGAGCCCGGAGAAGAGCGAAATATGGGGACCCGGGCTAAAAGCAGGCGTCGTCCTTCCCGCCCGCTATTTCTATATTCAGGCGGTGGACACATCAGGGAATAAGTAAGTCGGGAAACGGCTCCTGAACTGTTTTGGATTGCAGTCAGAACTGGTTTTCCCTTCAAGAGTTCCCTCTCCAAGAACTACTTTCTCCACAGCCGTTTAAATTACAGGATATCTGGTTGTAAGTCTCCCTGTCCCAATCAATTTTTCCTGTAGCTGTAGAAGTAATCCTGAATTATATTATACGTGTATTTTATATGTGTGTGTATATATATACCTATATGAAATAATATAATAACAGCTCTTCTTTTATTAATAGCTGTGTGGATAGAGATTCCCGCACTATCAGAGCAAGACAAAGCCCTCCCACTTCTCTGAAAATACTATTTCTAACTACCTTGCACATAAGCTAATTTTAAGGAATTTAAAACTAGTTCTTAGGGATTTGGTTGGCTGCCCTCAATTTTCAGGTAGACATCTGCAGGCAGGCATGTCTTGAAACTCAAAAAGAAGGATGCAGTACTACTTGAAACTTTAGAGTTTGGAGAGAGAGAGCAAAGTGTGAGTCTCTTATATGATTGCAACAAACATTTATTTCATTCCAATGAGTTCAATACATTAACATTATATTTAAAACATAGTTTTATAATTCAGATACTTTGAAATGATTGTCTTTATTATTGGTGGATGCTGGCAGTGTATATTTCATAAGGGGAAAACATCTTGAAATAGAAAGGTTTTTAAATCAAATAAAAGGAAGGTTTTTTATAAATGTTGTTTGGCTATAAATACTACAATTGAGGAAAATAAATACCATCTTCATAGCAAGCAAACGTTACAGTACTAGGATGATCTGCTACGTACTTTGTTTTGCCCATGGCTAAGCATGATTTATAATACTGATATTTTAAAGAATCATTGACTTTTTCAAAAATAAGATTATTATCTTTGGAGGTACCCTTTGTTCACAAATTTCCAGATGTGATGGCATGAAATAAATGATAGATTGGTAAGATTTGTCTATATGGAATGCATAGGTCTTTTCTGTGCTTGTATAGGTTAGTAAGCCTTAACAATATCCCCTTGAGATTATCTAATGAAACTTTTTTGTTATGTAGGCCATTGTCCTCCTCTTAAAAAAAAAAAAAATCTGATCCATTGTATTCATTCTGGTACTGAAAGCATAAGAGAGAAGAAGCAATGGTATGTTAAAGAAAGAAAGTGGAGAATAGAAGAGTTTCCAGACTGAAAAGCATAATAATCTTGTGCATTTGGCCAGGCCCGGTGGCTCAAGCCAGTAATCCCAGCACTTTGGGAGGCCAAGGTGAGGGGATTGCCTGAGCCCAGGGGCTTGAGAATAGCCCAGCAAGACCTCGTCTTTACAATAAATAGAGAATTAGCCGGGTGTGATAGCATGTGCCTATCATTCCAGCTACTTGGAAGGCTGAGGCAGAAGGGTCACCAGAACCTAGCAGGTTGACGCTGGGGTGACCTTGAGCATGCCACTACACTCCAACCTGGGTGATGGAGTGAGACTCCAACTCAAAATAATCATCATCATCATCATCATCTTGTGCATTTCTTAAAATAGTCTTTATATCACATTGCTCTTCCCATCACAGATTCACATCTTCTCCGGGTGAAAAGGTCTTCCAGGTGAAAATCTCAGCCCCCGAGGAGCAATTCACCAGAGTTGGAGTCCAGGTTTTAGACCGAAAGGATGGGTCCTTCATAGTAAGATATAGAATGTATGCAAGCTACAAAAACCTGAAGGTAGAAGTTAAATTCCAAGGTCAACATGTGGCCAAATCCCCATATATTTTAAAAGGTAATTTGAGACAGAGTTTCCTCATTCCATTAACAAAAACAACTTAGTGGGATGTGGGTTTTTGGGGGGTTTTTTTCCACTGAAAGAAAAAAATAGACATTTTCTACTTGAAAGCTAAATTAGAAGTCCTGGTAAAAGAGAGAAATTCAAGATTGGAAAGGAAATTCTATTTTTTTAAAGGCAAGAAACATATGAATAGAGAATTTGCTCCTTGAAGATACAACATTGGCAAAAATAATAAGGTTTTGTATATGATCACATGTGATACTTTCTTCACGGGAAATGTATAACTTAAGTAACTGATAAGTTTACTGCAATTCGATAGATCACTTAGGGATGGGAGATGTCTTGAATGGGGAGTAGGAGTTGGTTTTTGTTTTCTATCCTTGTTCCAGTGCTGTTTTTCCAGAGAAATTCTCTGGTTTTTCTTATAATAATTTTGATATGAATGAGAGTACAACTTTGTTATCTAGAGCCATCTCCTCCCTCTCACAATGGACAGTACCCCCCAAAAAGTGGGGAAGCAGTGAATATACAAAGGCAGCAATCTGCCCTGTTCCCCCTCCTACCCTTAAGAGAGTTGAACATATTCTTGTGTCTGGGTTCCTTTCCTATATTCCACCAGAACCACTTGGGACAATATAATCAGCCAAACCTTAAAAGAATATTCCCTTGGCAGCCTCTGCCTAGGTCACATGGGAATCTGAGAATTATAGAAAGGAATGACAGTTAAAATCTCAGTTTAAGCTGGGCACGGTGGCTTTCACCTGTAATCCCAGCATTTTGGGAGGCCGAGGCGGAAGGATTGCTTGAGCCCAGGAGTTAGAGACCAACCTTGGCAGCATCGCAAAAACTGTCTTTACAAAAAATTTTTTTAAATTGCCAGACTTGGTGGCACACACCTGTTGTCCCAGCTACTCGGGATGCTAAGGTGGAAGGATCGCCTGAGCCCAGAAGGTTGAGACTGTCATGAGCCATGATCATGCTACTGCACTCCAGCCTGGGTGACAGAGTAACACCCCAACTCAAATAAAAAATCTCAGTTTATATTCTGCTATATCATGTTAGTATTATTTCTATAAATATATAATTAATTCATTATAACATTAGTAAAATGAAGTGTTTTGAGGATTACTTTTGCTTCTTTATACTTCTTTTTAAAAAAGTATAGTAGAGGTTTCCTGTTTACTTTTGTTATTAATCATTTGCCCATTGAGAACTTGAAGAACTTGTCTGTGTAATAGATCATCAAACTAATAAATAATAATTCATATCACTTTTATCTTTCATTAAAACACATATATTCCTCTGATATCCTTTTACCAGTATTTGGTGATTCTTTTTTTTTTTTTTGAGTCAGAGTCTCACTGTCACCCAGGCTGTAGTGCATTGGCACACTCACGACCACCACAGCCTTGACCTGCTGGGCTCAGAAGATCCTTCCACCTCACCCTTCCAAGTAGCTGGAATTACAGGCGCATGTACCATGCCCAGCTAATTTTTTTGATTTATCGTAGAGACAAGGTCTCACCAAGTTGCCCAGGCTGGTCTCAACCATGGGATTCAGGCAGTCCTCTTGTCTCGGTCTCCCAAAGCTCAGGGTTTACAGGCTTGAGCCACCGTGCCCGGCTGGTGATTCTCAAGTACATAAAACATAAAGAATAATGAACTACAGTATCTCCTATAGAGTATAAATCGGTACCCATTGGCTTTTTTTTTTTTAACTCATGCAAAGTGGACCTGATTATGAAAATAATCACTTCACTATGAAGACCTGTCAGTGTAGAAGGCTGCCTTACTTGCAATGTCCCATTGTAGTAAAAATGTATTTATTTTAGAATATAATTTCAATCAATATACCCTTCCTATCTAACTAGGCAAAATTCATGGCTGGGCATGGTGGCTCATGCCTGTAATCCCAGCATTTTGGGAGGCCGAGACAGGAGGATCGCTTGAGCCCAGGAGTTCGAGTCCAGCATGGGCAACATAGTGAGACCTCATCTGTTTTAAATTTTAAATTTTAAAAAATTTAAAAATATTAGCCGGACATGGTGGCACACATCTATAGTCCCAGCAATTTGAGAAGTTGAGATGGGAGGATCACTTGAGTCCAGGTAGTCGAGGATGCAGTGAGCTGTAATTGTATCACTGCACTCCAGCCTGGGCAACAGAGTGAGACCCTGTCTCAAAAAAAAAAAAAAATTTCATGATGCCACAATGCCACATTTTGAATATTTGTATATGTGTTTCAAGTGCTGAGTGA